TGATGATGCTGCAAAATTATTGCGTCATATGTGCAATGCATTATTAGCTTATCACAAGCAGTATTATAAATGGAGGTAATTTGTTTTTATTAAAGAATCAAGTTTTAATAGACAAAGGAAGTTTTTTTTTTCATTTTTAACAGAAACATTTTTATGTAATTATTTTCTATTTAAATAAATATAATATATTTTTTTAAGTTTTAGTAATGCACCTATCGATGTCTAGCCCCAATTGGGGGAGTGCAGGTATACCCAGGGGCTATTGACAATTGATTTCAAATATTTCTGGTCAATAAATTTCAAATTCCACACCCTCTGCCATTTCAAACCTTAATTCTTATTCAAAACATCCCCTCCCTTGGACAAAGTTCACAGGTCAAATGCCCCACCTATTTCCGCACTCCCTCTGTTTGGGCAAGACATTGATAGGTGCATAAAAAGTAGCTGTATATTTCATGAATAAAAATTGCGCTGCAAGATAAAAATTAACAGCAGCAATGAACATGGCTGAATGCTGCAACTGTATAGAAGTGGACTGAAAAAAGGCTGAGAAAAAATTATTAGAGCTATTTTTCAATTAGACCATGATCAACTAACTTCAATTTTGCTTTCACATTGGTTTTGGATATTTCAGTCTACTTTTAAATTGCAACTAATGATTCTAGCACCAATTACCATGCTATGAGCATTTCTAAACTGCTTTTTGCTATTTTTGGCTATTTTTTTTAAATTAAGAAACTAAACACTTTCACATCTGCTGTGGTGCATCACTTTATTTTGACGTAATAAAATGAGTCTAAAGAATGACTTTCTGAAAAGATAGCTATACAATAATGATTTTGTATAGCTTACAACATTTTAAGGCTTTGCAGCTCCATATTAGAACTATTACTGCAATGACCAGAATGTAAGTGTAAATACATTTTGTATATGTAAACACATGACCCTTTTTTGAGGAAAAAAAAATCCTGCAGAGAAATGAGGAGGGAAAAAAAATATCCTGCAGAGCATTTAGAAGGGAAAAAAATATCCTGCCCACCAGATTGCTAGAAAAAAAAATTCTTGCCTACCAAAAATCACCCCCGTCAAGAGTTAAATGGTCGGCCCCTAAAAGATACTTTTCCAAATTCCAGGCATGACACCAGTATGGGATACCCTACGAGCAGCAGTTTCTTTCTTGCATGGCTTTTAACGTTTACGAAGTCGTTTGGGTGGCGGCATGGCTTGTCTGTGGCGTAGTTGGTTTGTTTACACGAGGCGTGAACAAATCAACTACGCGACTAACCTGTGTCAGACGAGGGAAAAAGTACAAAAAAAAAAACGCCTGACTACTGGTTAATACGCGTCAGACAAGCCAAGCGAAAAACTTGGTAATTAGATTAATTCTAAAGAAAAAATACCGGTTTTGACCCGTCCTGTGCAAGTCTGGAGAGAATGCATAAGTGAGCGTTGAAGCTGCAAGGCGTGGCTCCCTTTCTTTCACCCGCCCCTAGCACTCGCGTCGCTTTTCCCGAGCTGGTCTCGTGTGACTTCTCATGACTCCCCCAAATGGAGAGCTTGCTCGCAGACTCCTTAAAACTCTGCTAATGTGTCTAGTAGTCGTAGTAATACGCCAATATTGTGTATATAGTAATGCTTATAGTAATACGCTTATAATGTGTAATACGGTCAAGTTATGCTTAAAGCAGCGTGCACACGAATCTCGATATTTTTGAAACCAATATCAATTTTAGCACTCAGCCACCGTACTTCCCGGGGGGGTTTTCCCCTATGTGCCGCCCCAAAGGGTGGGGGTTTTGCACCATTTTGGTCTGAAAACGGGTATACACTTTGTCTATTTTGGTCTGGAATCTGGTATGGTTTTCGAGGGAACTACGGGAGTGTTTGAACTTATTTATCGTTTCAATTCCAAATGAGTAAGAAAGAAAGAGAAATATGCGAATTCGAAATGCATTTTAAGAAATCCTTTTCGTTGCTGTTCTAATCTAAGTAATAATGACATAATTTTGTAGAGACAAGGTCTGAAAACGGGTATGGACTTTAGAGGCCAAGTCTGAAAACGGTTGTGAAGAATGACATTTTTTGGACTGACATAGGGTCAGGATTTGGAGAACCGGGCGGCACACTCCCACCAAGAATTCCCAGGAGTACCCCTCCCGCCGGCACGTACTTGGTTTTGTGTAAATTCGCATTTTTGAAACCGCTTATTTTAATTTTTAATTTAATTGTTAATTTTTTAATCCGGATTCGTGTGGACGAGACCTTAAACTAAAGGGAGGATTTATTTGCAGCTCAAAAACAATAAAGAATTCCCGAAGGGCATTATATACAACGGCTCTATGCGGAATTATGCTCATGTTGCAAATTCAGAAAATAAATAGGATGAAATTTGTTTGCACTCCAACTATACAAAAGCAGTGACTATAACGTGAATTTGCTCTATTGCATTGCCAATAAATGGCTGAAAAACAGGACGGTGTGCACTTTGTCCTTTGTCCTAAACAGGGTGATAAAATTCAGGCTGTTGTCCCAAACAGTGTATGTATTTAGGATTTTTTCGTCGTAAAACAGGGTCAAGGTTTCAAACCCTCAGCGGCTCACCTATATCCAAATATTGGTCGAGTACCCCCCGGAATCATTTTAAGTTCCCCGCTTCATTTGCCTAATCTCGGAGAATTCAGGATATAAAGGGATGTTAAACCTAGTGGTAGCCTGGTCGAGGCGTTTAGATAGTAGGGAGCTTAAGCAGCGACGTTTTTGAGCGACGCACGTCAACCGGAAGTGAGGTATTTTCCCTCTTAACATGCCTTGATGATATAAAATTTGTATTCCTTAGCTTCTTTACTGTTATAGAGGCGATTTGACTGAAACTTTGCGCGAAACCACCGTCAAAAATGAAAAAAGGTCACTTCCGGTTGACGTGCGTCGCTCAAAAACGTTGTTGCTTAAGCTCCCTACTGGAGAGCAGCGTGAAGTCAGAGAGCGAGGTTTAAATTAGGAGGGAGAGGGAGAGCTCTCTCTTTTGCCCTATCTCCAGTGGCGGATCCAGGACCCCCCCCCCCCCCCTGCCACTAAACTAAATTCCAGGGATACTCAAAAATGTAGTTGTTTTTGGGTACCCTCCTATGATCTGTTCTCCTCTGCTCGCAAAGCAGTATTTCCCGTGCCAACGGCGATCTGCGTTCACAAATCGACGAAACACGTGGTCGTCTCTGTCTGAAAATGGTAATCCGCCACAAAAAATTCAACCAAAGTTTGGACCCCAAAACAAAAATTCCTGGATCCGCCCCTGATCTCTTAATTATCCCCACAATTTGAACGCCTGGAACAGGGTATCCTAGCGGATATTCTAGATCTTCAAGTAGCAGTGGTCATCCGTTATATATATATTTTCGCTTTTTTCCGCAGCTAAGCTTTTCGGCGAAAGGTTGGCTACTTCCTCTTGTCAAAAGGTACGAAATTCCCGGCATTTTCTCCAGCTCTACCAAAACAAAATCCTATCCTGTGGATTTACTAGTTATTACTATAATTATTATTACTATAAGTTACAGGTAAGCGTTTGTTTTGTGATGCTAATAAGGTCTCTCTTAGGATTAATAAATGGAGAGAAAGACGTTTAAGGTCTACTTCACCTTTTTTTTTCCTTCACGGAGGGAATTTTTAGGGCTTGCATTCACATAGGGCTATTGTATTTTAATAATATCCGTACCCTAGCCAGGCTTCTGTTGAGGACTTACCTAATTTCTTTCACCCCTAGGCCAGCAGAATTAAATAAAAATGCATTCACCCCTGAAGAATTTCATGTAAAGGTGATTTTTTCTATAAAAATTGCATGAATTAATAGTTTACCAACAACATCAACATCATTTTTATTTCTACTGTAGACAATTAAAAGAATATACAAGAAATATAATTATTAATTTAGACTGAAATAAACTTCTGGTTAAGTATGTCTACGAACTAGCACAGAAAATCCTTGTTCTGAGCCCCCACTTGATTTAAGAATGCACCATTAAATTTATTATTGGCCTGCTGAAAAAGCCATTGTTGATTTACCAATCAGATTGAAAGGTAGCCTGAATTTCATCCGATTACTTCGAGTCGTTATTACTCCCTCAGTAACGTCTGAATCGACCGGCCGTTAATGCCGTCCAGTGACGTCACTACTCCTTGACCTTTGCTTTAATTCATGCAAAAAGAAAAACACGATTTTCAGTGGCAAACCGAGAAATATCGTTTTGAAATGTCTGCATGATACAGAACTGCTTTATTTTTTTCGATCGTACTTCATGTTTAACGTTCAAACTATCAACTGCATGCAGTACAACGTAACAACTCTGAACCGGTTGTACTAAATCCTATGATCAAACTTGGTCGCAATCACGCAATGAAATAAACACACACACGGAACACTTAGTTCAAAAACACAATGATTTGCTTTAATCGAAAAGAAGCTATTTGGTCCTTAACGAAGAAAAAAACAAGGAGACAAGAAAGAAAAGCTAACGGAATCATTACACTTGACGGTAAAAATAGCAAGAAGGTCGAATTATAACATTGATCTCAGAAAACTTCGCGTAAACAAAATCACTGGCCGCCGAAATCACAAAGCGGCTCTAAATGAAAAACCTACCTACTCTCTGCAATGATTCTTCATACGCAGTTCAATTTAGCATTTCAGTTTCGAAGACAAGGGCAATAATTATGCGAATGTTTAGACAATCAACCAATCAAAATCACTACCTGGTTTTCGGGTAGTGAGTGACGTCACTGGACGGCATTAACGGCTGGTCGATTCAGACGTTGTTGAGAGGAGAAAACGACTCGAAGCAATCGGGTGAATTTCAGGCTAATTGAAAGGGAATTTGAAATGAATTTCCGACAATTTGTTGAATCTGTTAGGGTGCGGGAACAAGAATAGCCAGGGTTAGATTATGTCTGGGACACAGGCTTGGAATTTTTTAAATCAAAAAATTATTAATAATGCATTTGTGTCTGAAGGTGGTGCCAGTGGAATTGGTCGGGCTGTCTGTCAAGCTTTAGCCACAGAAGGAGCCGGCATCATTGTAACAGATGTAAACAGTCAAGGGACTCAGGAAACACTAGACAGCTTATCACAACATGCCAGCTTAAAACACAAAAACTATTCTTTAGACGTGTCAAGTGGAGAGGAAATACATAAGGTGTTAGAGTATATTATAAGCGGGTATAAGAAGCCACCGTGCATTTTAGTCAATTCTGCTGGCATCACTAGTGATGAATTCTTACTGAAAATGGATGAGGAAAAGTTTGATAAAGTCATTAAAGTCAATCTCAAGGTGAGTGGCTTTTGACCATCCATGCAAATGGCATTAAAAAAATTAACATTTTCTCTTCAATCATTTTGTTAAAGACTCAGGCCTATTTGATTTCAGTCAATGTGCAGAACTGCTGGCTTATATATCTTAGATATAAGCATACTTCTTTAGCACAAGAAAGCTAATAACTAAACTGGAATGATGCAAAGAAAAGCACAAGAACAAGCAAGAAAAACATGCTGCTATGTTGGATTCATCCTTTTTTTTTTTCAGTTCTTTAGTGCCAACATTAATAACTACCAAAACATTTAAGTGTGTTTATGCATATGCTTGCATCATACTGTTTTTATGCTATATAAACCAAGATCTCTTTTAATAACATCAGTCATTAAAATTCTGGGGATTCCTTGCTATTTTATAGGTTAAAAATGGACCAGAAACAGGTAAAAAATAATGTAGATAAGAAAGAATGACGTTTCAGTGTCATCTTGACACCAGTTTCAATATTTATGGTGGACAAACTTAAAGTGATGACTAATCTAACGTCAAGCAGACTGTAAAAATAGAATAATATTTGGTTCCTGTAATATTTTTTTAAAAAACTGACTTCTCGTGTTGTTTTTACATGGCTGATCTGCCTCTCTTTCCAGGGGACATTTTTGATGACTCAAGCTGTTGCAAAAGTTATGGTTGATCAAGGTGTTAAAAATGGTTCTATTGTGAATTTGGCGAGTATAGTAGGCAAGGTGAGAAAAATTTATATGGTGTGCTGTGCAGTAGAACCAATTGCCTGAAAGTCAATAGGGAGTTTTAGCATCAACAAAGGTAACGGCAACAAGAACGTCAAAACAGCAAGGATTATTAAGCAAAACAACAAGTTTGCATGTGCATTGCGCTTTTTTGTACATTTCTTTGCTGTTGCTGCATGACTGCGATGGAAAATGCCTAATTTCACGTTTTGTCAAGGATATAACAAGTGACGAGGAAATTTTCTTTCTCTTTCTAAGCTTGAGTGTGGTCCCCAAGAAATCAACTCTAAGGAAAGTTTGCCTACATTAGACATTTTCAGTGAATTGGAATAAACGTGATAAAGTTTGAAAAACGCTAATTCATTTTAAAAGTGACGTTTTCACTGCCATAGCCGTCATCATTGCTAAAACTCCCTATTTAACAGTTTCATTCAGGCTACGTTCACACAGTACTGCTTGAATTTTCAATGACAGTTGAAAAATTTGACCAGACACTTTGTTCACACAAAACCGTTCTTGAAATATTTTTGCACTGTCACACAGAACTGTCAAACCGTAATATTTCCAAGCAAAGCCATTAATAACACAACTCATAAATCCATGTTGGCAATATGTATTTGTCACAGGATGGAAAGACAGTGACTTTACAGCTATGTGGATTAACAGCTTTTTCTAGTAAAAATTTACCACAATCTCTCCCAATGATCAACATAATGATCCTTACAATTGCTGAAGTAGACTTCAGTTCTGTCTTATGGATATTTTCCATATGATCATTGCCATATTGCTAAGTTCAGACTGCTGGCCTTTTTTCTGCAACCATAACAAAAAAAAGCCACATGGAGTCCTAATCAACTGAAATAATCCTGGTAAGTGGGCAAAATGCTGTCATGCAAGGTGACTTTTGAGCAAAATGACCACAATTCCACCATGAGTAACCCAAAACTCCAGTCCTCAACTTATCCTACAACTGCACCAATATGATCATGTCTTTGCAAACATTCTTCCTTTACAATACCAGGTTGGAAATCTTGGTCAGGTTAACTATGCTGCTTCTAAAGCTGGTGTTGAGGGACTCACTAGGTCATGTGCCAAAGAACTTGCTAAGTATGTGTCTCACAGTTCATATTGATTTTGGGTGGGAAAGTTGCTGAAAGGAGGGTATATGTATGTTTTGCTTTCTACACTGTACCAGCCTGTAGTACCCTAAGTTTTAATTATTTACTGGATTTATTGAATTTTGCCAATGGTTTTTAACTTTGCAATTTAGGTTCCCAGGGTCATTTGGTCTTCTAAGTATTTTCTTCTTTGGAAGTGTGGGTGTATTCCCCTAACTAGCCATGAAGATTAATCTAACTTGACCAGAATGTGAATTCCACAATAAGTCAGTGGCATAAATTAATAGTTTGCTTTTAAATTCAGGGAACCATGAACACCTGAAATTATTTCTGGACTGTTTTTGTGTTGCAAGGAAAACCCAATCAGGCATGAGAAAACTTTAGCTGCAAGTAGAAATGGTAATATTAGTGTGTAGTTTTGTGGCATGCTTGTGTGTCCTGATCCTATTGTGATATGGTTGTAATGAAATAAACATACCTGCAATTTATCAAGAGTTTCACTTTTCTCTGGGTTTGACAGTAAGTGTTACTTATTAATGACAAAATAATACTGTTTTTGTTTTTCAAAGTGCTGTTACCAACTGATGTAATTTAAACAAATTGCTACAGCACTGCCTTTGCTTTGTGTGTGTCTCAGGTTTGGTGTTAGATGTAATACCGTTCTACCTGGTTTCATTGAAACTCCGATGACTGAAGCTGTCCCTGAAAAAGTCATAGAAAAGGTGTGTGACCATTGGTTCAGTTTAACATTTTCACTCCCAAAAGTGGTCATATTTAAAATTCAACAAAATTTCCAAGTTTTAATTTGTGTAATGTTGAAATATAAAGCAAATAGTATCACATGAAATTACTGCCAAAGAGGTTTCTTTTGACTGGTCACACCATAGAATTTGGTCCAAAGAATCAAAACATAGAACTACACACTAAATACATTGTAAATAGTACCATGTGAAAGAACTGCTAAAGAGGTTTCATTTGAATGGTAACACTATAGGATTTCGTTCACAATCTCAAAAGTTAGAACTACATACTAAATAAACAGTACAATGTGTAAGTACTGCTGAAGAGGTTTCATTTGAATGGTCACACCAACCATAGGATTTCATCTACAGACTGAAAAGTTAGAACTACATACTAAATAAATAGTACCATGTGAAAGTACTGCTGAAGAGGTTTCATTTGAATGGTAACACCATAGGATTTCATCCACAGACTCAAAAGTTAGAACTACATTCTAGATAAATAGTACCATGTGAAAGTACTGCTGAAGAGGTTTCATTTGAATGGAAACACTATAGGATTTGGTTCAAAGAATCAAAAGTTAGAATTACATACTAAATAAATAGTACCATATGAAAAGACCGTAGGATTTCGTTCACAAACTCAAAAGTCAGAACTACATACTAAATAAACAGTACAATGTGAAAGTACTGCTTAAGAGGTTTCATTTGAATGGTAACACCATAGGATTTCATCCACAGACTCAAAAGTTAGAACTACATTCTAAATAAATAGTACCATGTGAAAGTACTGCTGAAGAGGTTTCATTTGAATGGAAACACTATAGGATTTGGTCCAAAGACTCAAAAGTTAGAATTACATACTAAATAAATAGTACCATATGAAAAGACCGTAGGATTTCGTTCACAAACTCAAAAGTCAGAACTACATACTAAATAAACAGTACAATGTGAAAGTACTGCTTAAGAGGTTTCATTTGAATGGTAACACCATAGGATTTCATGCACAAACTCGAAAGTGAGAAACACCTTACAAGATTTCATTGGTCATTCTGGTTGAATGGGTTCATTCCCATGAGTTTCTAGTGACAAAAGCAGTTAACCAAAAATTTTGATTTAACAAAATGATTCCTGATGTATTCTATTTCATTTTTCTAGTTAAAGAAACAGATTGCTATGTTCAGACTTGGCCAACCATCAGGTTAGAACAGTGAACCTTTGATTTGAAGACTTTGTGATGTGTGTGTTTCTTTGTTTCCACATGTTTTACTTTACAGACTATAAAAGGCTATTCACAAATGAACTTGGTGCACTGGTATAGGATGGCGTGTAGTACTGAAATGACACTTGAGCCTTTTATCTTATTTGACAACTTTCTATTAGCAACAGTTTTAGTTACCACTAAATTCAACCCGGGGCACCTCTGTAAATTATGATTGTACACTCACGTTTTTGCAGCCTGCGCCACAGATGAAACAGAGCCAAAATCCCTGTTCTGTGTAGGATTTGAGTACGCGTTCTTTTTGCGTTCTACCTTTACCCTTTGTTAGTTCAGAGAGAGATACAGATGATATGCTTTCATAAACGTTGACGAAACAGTTCAAAAAGGACTTACAGTCAAACCAGGTCAAGCGTTCCCGTCGCTAACAAACTAATGAATTCATTAATGGGAAAATAATTTCGTTTGTTGATTCAATAATCCATTCATAAAATGAATAATCCAACAGTCAAATTGGTCCTCGATTCAATAATCAAATGTTGATTTGGTTTATGAGCAAAATCTACCTGTTCTTTATTCTTGTCTGTTGTGTTCAATCGTATTTGCTTCCTTTTTCCTGCCGTTTACGATTGCGTTTTTCATTGCCTTTAATCAAAATAACAGCTAGAATAGACAGACCGCAAACGCAAAGAAACTATGAGAAAGTGACAAAGGCCGAGGATCGAAATCCACCAATCACCGCACATACACTGACCTTAGTTTGACCGTTGTGTTTTCTAAGAGGTCAGGCCTGGGTCTGTTGCACTGATTACTGGCAGCAAACTGGCGTACATGTAACAGTTTGTTTGGGTTTGAACTTCAGAACTCGCCAGCACTCGACTCTCAGAAAAAAAAGAGGAAAAAACAAAATTCTGAGGTCAACTTGTGGAAAGTGTAGTTTTTCAAAAAACAGTAATCGAATCAACATTCGATTATGGAATCGAGGCTAAATATGACTATTGGATTGTTCATTTTATGAATGGATTATTGAATCAACAAACGAAATCATTTTTCCGTGAATGAATTCATTAGTTCGTTAGCGACGGGAACGCTTGACCTGGTTTGACTGTAACCTCGTCTTTTTTCTATTTCTTTTGCTTTTGTTGTTGGTGAATTTTTCCGCTGATGAATTTTCTTAGACGTAGCTGATGTGGTAACCTTCCTTGCATCT